TACATATATTACTTAGCCATGGTAGGTCCATCTTTATGTATTCCTTGTCCCAGAAAACTCCTAAACCAACCAGACACCTTTATTGCTGTTTATTTATAGATTATCTGACGTTCAATTCTCGAATTTTCATTCTGGTCATTTAGACCCTCAATAGACTCCCCTTATCCTTTAGGCTTATTACGGCCTTTAAGTCTGCCTATAGACTCCTTAGCCTTCCAGGATCGACTATACATTTTCTTATCCTTCAATCTCGTCTCAAGGCTTCAGGTTCTCAAGGCTCGTCAGAAGATTTCCATGACATGATTTCCATATTCTCCCTGGACCATCAGGCTCGCCGATGACACTTTGGATCTTCAGGACCGTCATCGAAGTTATCCGACGAATTACCCCGGCATTTTCACAGGCAATCAAAAGTGCCAGGAATTTATTATTGTAAGGCTGTAAAACCAGGGCGTCTATACAGGGTAAGTGTAGACCATCATAAACGAGGAGGCCTCCACAGACAAGTTGAGGGACCTTAGAGTCTCCATAAAGGGGATAAGAGACTCCTGTTATCCTTTAGGCTCATCCATAGATCTCACGACCTTTAAAGCGACCTATAGACTCCATAGCCTGCCAGGTTCGACCATTTTTCGATTTTCTGATCCTTCAGAGGCTGTTCTATAGACTTTCAGGTCCTTCAGGTTTGGCAAAAGATGTCCATGTACTTCAGATTCGGCAATATTTGGATCTTCACGCCTGCCATGAATGATATCGGATGGGTTCCCCGATTGAAGAATAAACACAGAAAAATCCTAGAGGCATTTAGAGAAAAGAAGAGAGGCCGGGGTGTTTTTACAGGAGAGCAAAAGTGTCAGAAATTCATTATTGTAAGGCTGTAAGACCAGGGCGTCTATACCGAGTAAGTGGAGACCATCATAGACGAGGAGTCCTCCACAGACAAGGTGAGGGTCCTGTGATTCTTTATAAATGTGTTGACGGATCATAAAGTCTCCAGAATTGTAATTCGAATCATTGGAATTTTAAATTCGATAATTTCAATTGTAATTTCTAAGAACTTCCGAGGCCGTCTGGGATCTCCTAGATCAGGAGGTCTTCCTAGTACGTTGGCATTTGACTCTCTGGCCAAAACGTTCCCTGGGTATTCTGGCTCGCGTATAGACTGCCAGTCGTTTCCTACATGCTCCCTATTCTTCTAGACTACCTGTCCCGTCAGGCGCAACGAAAAATCTCCTTTAGGTACGTCAATACAATCTATGGACTTCAAGTAGATTCCCTGGCCCAAAAGACTCATCTTAAGTCATACTTGCGGGTTGACTCCTTGGCCCCTCAGACTCCCCTATAACCTCATTTGACCCTTCAGGCTCACCTATGTGCTTCCTGGTCCTTCAAGCTAGTTACTAGACTCCCTTCTAGACTTACTAACCGTTCATACTTGCGTGTTGACTCTTTGGCCATTCAGATCTGCCTATAAGCTCCCTGGAACTTAATGACCATCTACAGATTCCCTGTCCTTCATAGTATTTCTATAGTGTTCCTGGTCTTCCCAGAATGTCTATAGACTCTGTAGCCCTACCAGCTCCTCTATAGGGTCTTTTCAAGACTTAGTGACTATTTATCTCGGCTACAGCTTTCCAAGGCCGTGTAGCCTCCTCTAAAGGCACTCTGGCCTCCTAAGCTTGTCTGTAGACCATCCAGCCCTTCAGGTTCGTCTGAAAGCTCTCTTGGCCTTCTGGCTTGTATATAGACCCTCCAACGCCCCAGACTTTTCTAAGGTCTACCAGGCAATCCTTGTGTTTCTGTAGACTCCCTGGCCTTTGCAGCCTGGTAATAGACTTCCTGGCCCTACCGGCTCGTCTACAGACAACCTGGATCTTAAGAGTCTCATCCATACTCAGAAGCTATTCATTGTCGCCTATGAACTTTCAACGAATTCTAGACTCGCCTAAACGGTTCGTGGCTCTCTAGTTTCTTTATGGACATCCGGATCTCTCAAACTTGTCTCCAACTTCTTAGTCTGACTTATCCAATGATTTTTAAAAACTTTATTAGATTTAGATACCATTTTTATCTATGGATAAATGTCGGCAAAATTTATATCCACGTTATCCAAATCTCAGAAAACAATAATCCACGTTATCCAAATTTCATAAAAAAAATCATCCACATCAAATCTCAGAAAACAATTATCCACGCTATCCAAATTTCATAAAAAAATTATCCACGTTATCCAAATCTCAGAAAACAATTATCCACGTTATACAAATTTCATAAAAATATTATCCACGTTATCCAAATTTCAGAAAACAATTATCCACTTTATCCAAATTTCATAAAAAAATTATCCACTTTATCCAAATTTCATAAAAAATTATCCACGTTATCCAAATCTCAAAAACAATTATCCACGTTATCCAAATTTCAGAAAACAATTATCCACGTTATCCGAATTTCATTAAAAATTATCCACGTAATTTAAATTTCACAAAACAATTATCCACGTTATCCAAGTTTCAGAAAACAATTATCCACGTTTCCAAATTTTATAAAAAAATTATCCACGTTATCCAAATTTCATAAAAAAATTATCCACGTTATCCAAACCTCAGAAAACAATTATCCACGTTATCCAAATTTCACAAAAAAAAAATATCCACGTTATCCAAATTTCATAAAAATATTATCCACGTTATCCAAATTTCATAAAAATATTATCCACGTTATCCAAATCTCGGAAAACAATTATCCACGTTATCCAAATATCAGAAAACAATTATCCACGTTATCCAAATTTCATAAAAAAATTATCCACGTTATCCAAATGTTATCAAAATTATTATCCGCTTTATCTAAAAAGGATAAAATGACCGCAAAATTATTATCCACATTATCCAGATAAAAAAATGTATCCAAAATTATTATGCGCTTTATCCAAATTGGATAAAAAAATTATCCACGCTATCCAAATCGATAAAATGTCCACAAAATTATTATCCGCGCTATCCAAACTGAATAAAACAATTATCCACGTTATCCAAATGGATGAAATGTCCTCAAAATTATTATCCACGCTATCCAAATGGAGATAATGTTACATAATTATTATCCACGCTATCTAAAATTCAACAAAAAAAATTATCCACATTATCCGAATCTCAGAAAACAATTATCCAAGTTATCCAAATTTCATAAAAAAAATTATCCACGTTATCCAAATTTCATAAAACAATTATCCACGTTATCCTAATGGATAAAATGTCCCCAAAATTATTATCCACACTATCCAAATGGATAAAATGACCCCAAAATTATTATCCACGTTATCCAAATCTTATAAAACATTTATTCACGTTATCCAAATTTCATAAAAAAATTATCCACGTTATCCAAATATGATCAAAATTATTATCCGCGTTTTGAAAATGTTATCAATATTATTATCCTCGTTATCCAAATTTCAAATTTCTTCATCTAATTTTTTTCTTTTAAATTCCTTGGTTTTTACTTCGAGTGTAATTACTCTCTTCCCAAATCAGCAGCTGGAAATCTACTCGCAATCCATTTACAGAACAATAAAAACAATCAAACGGAAACAATAACGTCAAATAAACATTATGCGAAAATCGCAAACAGCATCAATGGCAATAACAATAACAGCAGCAACAGCAACAACAACAACAACAACATCAATGCCAACGATGACAACAAAAAAACCAAGGCAATTCCGCCATCAAACAAATCTTCAATTTGAGATGCTGATGACGGCGATGATGATGCTGCTGCTGCTGCGGATGATGCCTCCGAAAAGCAAACAGGCAAAAGTCAAATGGCTAGGAAGTAGAGTCGAGTGGTCCAATACAATTCCTGCTTCTTCGATGAATGATTGTCAAAATCCCTTTTCGTCTCCTTGGCTTGGCTTGGCGTTGGCACCAGATGCTAGTTGGTATTCTTAAAGCGTGCAGCAACAACAACAACAACACCGCCAACGACAACCCAAACAAATTGGCATTTTAACAAGTGGCACTCATTGGGTGATGATTTTCTGACGCGCCTTGGATGCTCTAATTGTGCCCGGCTGTGTCTTCGTTTTCGCAACGTTTTCTGTGTCTGGTGAATTTCTGTAAATGGAGTGGAGAGGCCATAGAATTTGAAGTCTCAACGGAATGAGGCTGGGAAGGAAGGCAGGGCAGGGCAAGAGTAGGAGAGCGAGGCGAGGCAAGACACACAACTAGGAACCTCATGAACCAGTCATGGTGTTGCTGTTCATTTGTGTTTTTGACAGCCGACACGTGCTCTTTGGCGTAGCGACACCCATAATCGAAATATTGCTGGCGTTCCCACCATTCTCTTTCTCTCTCCTTTTCTCTTTCTCTCCCCCCTGAAAGTTTAATTTTTATTGTCGAACTAAAATCTGCCGACGTCTTGCCAGTCTTGAATTTTAATGGAATAAATAATTAGATTTCAATTAAATTTGTAGGCGCTCGCCGTATTTGTTTCGATGGCATGGCGGGAATGCCAGAACACACTTTGAAGGTGAGAACCATTAACGGGGCTAATGGTTTGGAAATTTTGGAAAATTGTTTAATTTTTTGAGGAGTGCAGGATTGGTGAAGGGGAGAGAGAGGGTGATAAACACATGGAGAGGTGGGGTAAAAATAAACTATTTGCAAATTATTATTGACTAGCTTACCAGTGCGTTCTAGGAGTTCGAGGAGGGGGTATTTACCTGCAAAGAAAAAAAAATAACAATTATAATTAATGAGGGTTATGTTTATCTGAAGGAAATTAAATCGGAAAAAAATATTGAAATAAAATAAAATATTGAAAAAAATTATCCACTTCCTACGAAATTGAAAAATTAGGCTAGAATATTTATCGACATTATCCAAGGGATCTAAAATAATTATCCGCGTTATCCATATTTTTATCCAAGAGACCTAAAATAATTATCCATAATATTCACGTGATCCAAGCGATCTTAGTCTCGCTGTAGCCTTCAAAGAGATCGAACGCACTGTCGGTACGCACGTTAAATAAAGCAATTTTCTCTGCAAATCATTTAATCCAATTAATCAAAAAGCAAACAATTTCCAAGTCTTTTTTTACCTATTGGTTTTTTTACTGAATTATTTAGTAAAGTAATAATAAAAATGTCGGTAACCGAGGAACAAATTAAAAATATTTGTGGACAATGTTTGTTGGAAATCAAAAGCAATTTTTTTGTTCGATGTTATTACTGTAATGGGCAATATCATTTTTCTCCTTGCTGTTCACTCTCTGAGAGCTCATATAAAAGCATGAGCCATACGAAAAGAGTAGGATGGAGATGTCAAAAGTGTACATCAAAATCTCCCAACATTGGATATTTGGTTTTACCAAGTGAAAATGAGCACCATCAACATAACTCAGGCAGTCAACAAAGCAAACAGCAAAGAACCGAGAGTGATGAAGCTAACTGTAGCAAGAGATTTAAAAACAATAATACACCAACATCCTCCTTAAATAAAAACAACGAAAGCTTATCACAAAACAGAGACATAGAAGAGTTTAAAATCGGTTTCGTTAAGCTAGAAAATTGTATAAAACAACTCACGGAGAGCATTACAACAATGAGTACGAAATTGGATGAAACGAGAGAAGATATGAACAAGAATGTATCAACACTAACAACACAAATACTCGACTTGTATGAGAGAGATAGAGAGAGAAGCGAACAAATTCAGAAATTAAATGAGAAAGATCAAGAGAGATGTGCACAAATTCAGATACTCAACCAGAGAATAGAAAAGTTAGAACAAAAAGCGTTAAACAAAAACATTGAAATAAGCAACGTTAAAAACATGAATATCGAGGTCAGTGAACTGGTAGCCAAAATTGTTGAGAAAACGGGAGTGCAAATTTGCAACTCCGATATTGAGAGAACTGTGAAGATAGATAAAAAGAACAAAATAATTATAGAGTTCTCATCGATAAGTAAAAAACGAGAGGTAATGAAAAAAATAAACAGGCACCGACTGCAAGTATGCCAAGGAGTTGATGAAGGTGGAATTGAAAATACTATATTTCTAAATGATGAGTTAACTCCACACAACAGGCGCTTGCTTTGGATGACCAAAACTAGAGCAAAGGAGTGTAAATGGAAATTTGTTTGGGTTCGAAACGGATGTATTTATGCTCGAAAGAATGAAAATTCTCGATTTATTTTGATAAACAATACCGCCGATTTGGAAAGTATAAGCGAAACAATGTAAATTTTTCACAGTTTACCCCACAAATTTTTGCACAACGAAAAGAAAGAGCCTATCAAAGAGAAAGCACCAAATTAAATGCTGATAAAACTAGAATATTAAAAGACTGAATTAATAAAAAACACAATAAATATACAAATTTAAATTTGTTTCTTTAATTTCGTAAAATATTTGGATTTTATATTAAAAAAAAAAACAATGAATTTTATAAAAGATACAATCTGCAATTTCAATGAAATAAATGCTAAATATATAAATTTCTCTGTGTCGATGATACATATGAATATAAGATCTCTCAGAAAGAATTTCTTGACTTTTTTAGCCAACATTTCCAAAATAATAAACAAATTACATCTGATAGTTCTTTGTGAAACAAACATAACAGATGATGAGAATTCGTTCTATAATATAGATGGATTTAATTCCATATTTTTAAACAGAGCTGGTAAAGGAGGAGGAATTGCTGTGTATATTAAAGACACTATGCAATTTAAAAATTTGAACACAAACATGTCATCGTCTGAAATTGGAAGGATAAACATTACGGATAACAAAGATTCAAGTTTCACAGTATTGGCGATATATAGACCTCCAAACAAAAGCACAACTTTATTCTTGCTCGAACTTGAACAAATTCTAATAAATATTGGTAACAAAGAAAAACTAATATTAATAGGCGATATTAATATCGATATCCTTAAAAAAAATTCAATAACGTCAAAATATCTTGGCATTCTGTCAACAAATGGATTGAAATGTATGATATCTAACCCAACAAGAGAAGACGAAACGCGAACTACAAAAACATGCATAGATCACATCACAATCAGATGGAACAAAAATCTAAAGGAGGCTTACTCCGCAATTGTAACGACAGAAATATCAGATCACCATGCGTTATTTGCCAGTGTAGATGAAACAAATAAGAATGAAAAGCAAGACATTCAAAACAACAAAAAATATAAAATCAATACCTACAATGTTAATAGGCAAATAAGAAATATTAATTGGGAAGAAATTATAATCATATCTAATAATGCAAATGATCTTTTTAATAATATATACAGAACGTTTAACAAGATATATGAAAATTCAACAATAGAACACTCAAAAAAGAAAAACCGCAATGGTCTCCCATGGATGAATGAATACATACTTAATTCATGTGCTATTAGAGACAAGTTGTACAAAAAGTGGGCTAAAAATAAACTCAACAAAACCAACGAAATTGTTTATAAAAATTTTAATAACAAACTAAATAAACTTATAAGTAAAGCCAAAAACGTTCATATATATCATCAGTTTATTAGAAATAAACACAATATGCGTGGAACATGGCAGGTTATAAATAATGTTATTGGAAAGAAAACAACAAATATAGATGATCATATCAAGCTTAGCTTTAACATGAAAAATATTAAAGAAATATCCAATAATTTTGCGTCAAACTTTAGCCAAAATGTATTAAATATAGTTCATCAGTGCAATATAATAACATTGAATATACGTACGGAAAGAGTCATACAAAACTCAATGTTCATGGAAAATGCTACGGAGTTTGAGATTAATGGAATATTAAAAACGCTAAATACGAATAAATCTGCGGGCATTGATAATATTAGACCCATTGACATTAAAAATAATGCTTCTCTTCTCACCCCCATAATAACAAATTTAATAAACCAAAGCATATCTGAAGCGTCGATACCCCAGATACTCAAACAATCACTTATCAGACCCATATACAAAGGAGGAAGTAAGGCAGATTACGCAAACTATAGACCGATATCAATCCTTCCTATATTAGAAAAAGTTCTGGAAGAGGTTGTAGTGCGAAGACTGAACAGCTTCTTAACCAAATATAAAATAATAAATAGAAACCAATATGGCTTCCAAAAAAAACAAGAATATCAATCAACTCCTTGGCCACTTTTCAAACCATATAAATAAAAACTTAAGTCAACAAAAACAATGCATCGCTCTTTTCATAGATTTCAGTAAAGCCTTCGACACTTTGTCGCATGAAAAAATAGTAAATGTGCTAGAAAAAACTGGAATAAGAGGCAGATGTTTGAAATGGTTTCAAGACTATCTTACATACAGGTCGTTTAGAGTCAGAATTGATAACACAAACAGCTATGAACTTCCAACACAATACGGTGTTCCACAGGGATCAAAATTGGGTCCAATATTATATTTAATATATTCCAATGAAATGACGCTCAATCTACACAACAGTTCTTCGTACACATACGCTGATGATACTGCAATAATTGTATCACATACGGATATAAATGAGGCAACGTCAACAATGCAGCAGGAATTTAATATAATAACGAAATGGTGCCACGATTACGGCTTGATTATAAACCCAAATAAAACTAAGATTCTGCATATCAGACCTAAAAGTTCTCCCAAACACAATATTCGGATCATATTTCATGATAATGAATGCATACACGGAAACACATTAACGAGAAATCAAGAAAAATGTACCATGAATTTAGAAATCGTTGAAAATTATAAGTACTTGGGAATTTACTTGGATCAACACTTTAAATGGAAAGATCACATCGAAAAGCTACAGAAAAAGTTAAGAAAATCAGCGTTTGCGCTTTATCATCTAGGCAACTCTGCACCCTTCTTTATATTGAAGCAAGCATACTATTCTCTAGTAGAATCGCATTTACGACATGGTATTACAGCATGGGGAAATGCCAGATGTTGTAGAATGTTACAAGAAACACAGAACCGAATTGTTAAATATCTACATAAAAAATCATACCATTTGTACAATAACGGAAATGTAACAGTGTCAACCAACAACATAAGCCAGATATACAAAAACCTAGAAATCCTTAATATAAAACAAATATTTTCAATTGCAATTGTAGGTGAATTCGCTGACGACCGAAACCTAGCTGAGAAAATTAACCACGAACAAAGTACCCGGAGAAGACTTGAAGGACGTTACAAAATACCGAAATTTAAAAACGAATATGGAAAGCTCGCTCTAGATGTCGCTCTACCAAGCACCCTTAATGAACTTCCAAAGGAGATTCCAGAAATTAAAGATAAAATATGTAGAATAAAAAACATTAAAAAATATTATTTGCAAACGTAATAAAATAATGTAGTACTAAAAAATGAAGTCTATAACAATGGATAATATTAAATCTGTATATACATATTTATAAATTCTATTTACAGACAAGCCTTTTACAGGCTTCGTAAAATAATGTAATTATGGTATATTAATGAAAAAAAAAAAAAATAAAGAAAGTACTATATAAAAAAAAAAAAAAAAAAAAAAAAAAAAAAAAAAAAAAAAAAAAAATTATCCACGTTTTCCAAAATATTATCCAAAGCATCCGAAGGATAGCTATTTTATCCAAGTTATCCAAAATATGATAGAAATGGATAAAATGTCCTCCAAATATTTATTCACTTTATCCAAATATCGAAAAACTATTATCCATGTTATCAAAATTTTATAAAACAATTATCCCCGTTCGAAATGTCCTCAAAATTATTATCCGCGATATCCAAATGGATAAAATGTTTCCGAAAAATATTATCCACGTTATCCAACGGACCTAAAACATTTATCCACGTTATCCGAAATATTATCCAAGTGACTGAAATCGTTATCCATGTTAGCCAAAATAGTATTCTTGTGATCCGACGGACCTAAAATAGTTATCCGCATTATCCAAAATATTATCCAAGTTATCCAACGGACCTAAACAGTTATCCACTTTATCCGAAATATTATCCAAGTTATCAAAGTGACTGAAATCGTTATCCATGCTATCCAAAATAGTATCCATGTGATCCGACGGACCTAAAACAGTTATCCGCGTTATCCAAAATATTATCCAAGTTATCCAAGTGACTGAAATCGTTATCCATGTTATCCAAAATAGTATTCTTGTGATCCGACGGACCTAAAACAGTTATCCGCGTTATCCAAAATATTATCCAAGTTAATCAGATGACTCAAATAGTTATCCACGTTATCCAAAATATTATCCACATGATCCAACAGACCTAAAACAGTTATCCGCATTATCCAAAATATTATCCAAAATAACCAGAGGACTAAAATAGTTGTCCATGTTATCCACAATATTATCCACGTGACTCAACGGACCTAAAATAGTTATCCATGTTATCCGAACGACGTAAACCTGTTATCCACGGAAATATTTATCCATGCAATCCAAAATATTATCCAAAACCTGTTATCCATGTTTCTAAAATAACTACAGCCGTTATCCACGTTATCCGAAATATTATCCAAGTTATCCAAGGGACCGAAATCGTAATTCACGTTATCCAAAATATTATTCAAGCTAGCCAAAGGATTAAAATAGTTACCCATGTCATCCAAAATATTATCCACGTTATCCAATGGACGTAAAAAAATTATCCCCGTTATCAAAAATATCTAAACCTGTTATCCAAGTTAGCTAACATATTATCCGAACCTTTCAAAGGATCTAAAACAAATATCCACTTTATCCATAATATTTTCCATGCTATCCAAGGAACGGAAATTGTTATCCATGTTATCCGAAATATTATCCACGTTATCCAAATATTATACGAGGCATCTAAAGGACGGAAATAGTCATCCAAATATGTTATCCACGTATATATGTCATCCAAAATTTTATCCACGTTAATCAAAGCACCTAAACCTGTTATCCACGTTATCTGAAATATTAGCCAAGGCATCCAAAGGACTGAAATAGTTCTCCATGCTATCCAAAATATTATTCACGTGATCCAAAAAAAAAAAAAAAAAACATGTAAAAACGCTGTAAGTTCGGCCCGGTCGAACTTTATATACCCTCCACCATTTGGTACAAATTTGGCAATTTAAAAAAAAAATGAAAATATTGTTAAAATCTTAAAAATACCTAAAGTAGCAGTATATTAGGGTCTATACGACGACGTGGACCTGCATAGGCAAATTTTGTCATAAGCTATTACAATATTCAAATGCGAAAATTGAAATAAAATCTGTTTATAATGTACCTAAAATCCTCAAAATACCGAATATAGGGAGGTAACATGGGGGTTATAAAACGTGGACCTGCACAGACAATTTCTTTACATAGGCTGTAGTATCCATTACGAACTTCAAATACAAAATTTTAAACAATTCGCT